ACGCTGAAGCCCCCGAGTTCGTGGAGATGAGCGTGGAGCAGGAGATCCTGGTGACGGGGATCAAGGTGGTGGATCTGCTGGCGCCCTATGCCAAGGGGGGCAAGATCGGTGCGTGCTCCCTATGGGCATGGTTGGGGGGGGACACAAAGAGACTCCTTCACTGATGAGGAACCGATTGACTTTCGTTCTTCTGAGCTGCCTGAAGCCACTCGGATCGATCTGAGGAGGAAAAGGGGGAGCAGGGATGTGGGGGATCAACCGGGATGGGTGCGGGATCGAGCCGGATTCCCCTTGGTCCCAGGTCTCTTTGGAGGCGCCGGCGTGGGCAAAACGGTGCTGATCATGGAGCTCATCAACAACGTGGCCAAAGCCCACGGTGGGTACTCGGTGTTCGCCGGCGTCGGGGAGCGGACCCGCGAGGGGAATGATTTGTACCACGAGATGATCGAGTCCGGGGTCATCAACCTCAAGGATGCCACGTCCAAGGTATGGAGAAGGGGGTCCCCTGAATGGGGTCACACATGGGACCGGTAGCACGGTGCCCACCGCCTGTCCTGGCCCGCAGGTCGCCCTGGTCTATGGGCAGATGAACGAGCCCCCCGGTGCCCGCGCCAGGGTGGCCCTCACCGGGCTCACGGTGGCCGAGTACTTCAGGGACCAGGAGGGCCAGGACGTGCTGCTCTTCATTGACAACATCTTCCGCTTCACCCAGGCTGGCTCCGAGGTGGGTGCTCGGCCCCAGCCCCGCTCTGACCCCCCCATCCCCTTGGGCACCCCCTCAGAGCCTTTGTACCCCCCCCCCAAGGTGTCAGCCCTGCTGGGGAGGATCCCCTCCGCCGTGGGCTACCAGCCCACCCTGGCCACCGATATGGGCACCATGCAGGAGAGGATCACCACCACCCGCAAGGGATCCATCACCTCGGTGCAGGTGAGGCTGCAGCCGCATTGTGCATCCTCAGGATGCTGTGTCATCGTCCCCTCCTGTCCCCATCATCCCCATTGTCCCTTCCTATCCCCATTGTCCCTTGCTATACCCAATTGCCCCTTCCTATCCCCATTATCCCTTGCTATACCCAATTGTCCCTTCCTATTCTCATTATCCCCTCCTATCCCCATCGTCCTCTCCATCCCCATCGTCCTCTCCATCCCCATCGTCCTCTCCCTGTTGTCCCTTCCTATCCTCATTGTCCCCTCCATCCCCATTGTCCCCTCCATCCCCATCGTCCCCTCCTATCCCTGTTGTCCCTTCCTATCCTCATCATCCCCTCTGTCCCCATTATCCCTTCCTATCCCCATCATCCCTTCCTATCCTCATCGTCCCTTCCTATCCCCATCATCCCCTCCATCCCCATCGTCCCTTCCTATCCCCGTCATCCCCTCTGTCCCCATCGTCCCTTCCGTCCCCATCGTCCCTTCCTATTTTCATTATCTCTTTCTATACTCAATTGTCTTTCCTATTCTCATTATCCCCTCCTATCCCAATCATCCCCTCCGTCCCCATCATCGTCTCCTGTCCCTGTTGTCCTTTCTATCCCTGCTGTCCCTTCCTATCCTCATTGTCCCCTCCCTCCCCATTGTCCCCTCCATCCCCATTGTCCCCTCCTATCCCCATTGTCCCCTCCATCCCCATTGTCCCCTCCTATCCCCATTGCCCCTTCCTATCCCTATTGTCCCTTCCCATCCCCTCCATCCCCATTGCCCCTTCCTATCGCCATCATCCCTTTGTATCCCCATTGTCCCTTCCCATCCCCATCATCCCCTCCATCCCCATTGTCCCCTCCCATCCCCTCCATCCCCAGGCCATCTACGTCCCAGCCGACGACTTGACCGACCCCGCCCCTGCCACCACCTTTGCCCACTTGGACGCCACCACGGTGCTGTCCCGCGCCATCGCCGAGCTGGGCATTTACCCGGCCGTGGACCCCTTGGACTCCACCTCCCGCATCATGGACCCCAACATCGTGGGGCCCGAGCACTACGACGTGGCTCGAGGGGTGCAGAAGATCCTGCAGGTGAGGGATCCAGGGCTGCCCCCCGTAGGGAGCTGGGGGGGTGCACGTGGAGCCGCTCACCCTCACCCTGCTCGGCAGGACTACAAATCCCTGCAGGACATCATCGCCATCCTGGGCATGGACGAGCTCTCCGAGGAGGACAAGCTCACGGTGGCGCGGGCGCGCAAGATCCAGCGCTTCCTGTCCCAGCCCTTCCAGGTGGCCGAGGTCTTCACGGGCCACATGGGCAAACTGGTGCCGCTGCAGGAGACCATCAAGGGCTTCAAGCAGATCCTGGCGGGTACAGACAGCACCAGGGTGATGATGGGGGGGGGGGACACCCCAACGGTTTGGGGGTGCCCCCCCTAACTTAACCTCCTCTTCACCCCCACCCAGGTGAATACGACCATCTCCCCGAGCAAGCCTTCTACATGGTGGGGCCCATCGAGGAGGCGGTGGCCAAGGCGGAGAAGTTGGCTGAGGAACACGCTTGAATGTGGAGCCCCCCCAAAACCGGACCCCCCCCCAAAACGGGGCTTCCCCCTCCCCAATATTTAACGTTTCCAATAAAAGATCAATTGAAAACACCCCCCTGGGGTCTTATCTGAGCTATGGGGGGGGGGCAATGGGGGTCACACAAACGCACCCCCAAGCCGGTTATCATGGGGGGGGAAATGGGGGTCAAGTTGGGGGGTAGGAGATGGGGGTCACACAAACGCACCCCCAAGCTGGTTATCATGGGGGGGGAAATGGGGGTCAAGTTGGGGGGTAGGAGATGGGGGTCACACAAACGCACCCCCAAGCCGGTTATCATGGGGGGGGCAATGGGGGTCAAGTTGGGGGGTAGGAGATGGGGGTCACACAAACGCACCCCCACGCCGGTTATCATGGGGGGGGCGGGGCAATGGGGGTCAAGGTGGGGGGTAGGAGATGGGGGTCACACACACGCACCCCCAAGGTGGTTATCATGGGGGGGGGGCCCTGCTCTTGGTGTGTCCCCCATTGGGGCTCCATTTTACAACACAAAGCCCTATGGGGGGGGGGCCGGTACCGGGAGCACCGAGGGGGGGTCCCCACAAGCGCTGCACCCCCGAGGGTTAAAGCGGGGTTTGGGGGTGCGGGGGGGGGGGGGGAGCAAACCCCTTGAACCCAAACGGGGCCGCGGTCCCTTTAAATGGCGGCGCGTCCCCGCGGCGGAGGGGGCGGTGGCGGCCGCTGACATCACGCGGGGCCGGGAGCACCTGCGCGACACCGGGACCGGCACCGGGAGCGCGCCGGGCGGGCACCGGGGCTGCCCCCCCCACGCACCCCTCCATAGGTACGTACCGGGGCTCCCCCCCCCATAGATCCGCATAGGGGCTTCCTCCCTCCCCACAGACACGCACCGGGGCTGCCCCCCCCCCCCATAGGGGCCGCCGTGGACGGGACACGGAGCCCCCCCCCCCCCGGGGCTGTACCGGGACCCACATCCCGGTGAACGGGGTCAGCACCACGCCCCTCCCCCCTCGCTGTTGCGCACGGGGCCGGGATATCCCCATCCCCCCCCCTCCGTTCCCTTTGGGACCGCACCGGGCCCCCCCCCCCTCCACAACCGGTACCGGGGCCCTGCGCACCGCGTGACGTCACCGGGGATCCCGGGGGTCGGGCTGCGTTTGGGGTTGGGGGGGGGGGGGGGGGGGGGGTCAGAGCGGGGGGAATCCCCCCCTCCCCCACGTGGGCGCTTGGCTCCGCCCCCCCATCCCCCCCATTCCCCCCCCCGTTCGCGGTGACGCGCGCGCCGCTCCCGGTGACGCGATCGCGGCGGCGGTGACGTGCGCGGGGGGGGGGGGGCGGAGCTGGGACCGCCGCTTCCTGCCCTGCGCCGCCGCCGCCGCCGCCGCCCGGGCCCGGCCCGGTCCGCGCGGAAGGGACCGAGCCCCGAGGAGCCGCGTCCCGGCCCGCAACGCCTGAGCCGGGCCCGGGGCGGGCACGGGAACGGGAGCGATACCGGTAACGGCACCGGGAACGGGAGGGGGGGGAGACGGGAGGGAGGGGGACCCCCCCTGCGGTGACCGGTAAAACACCCCCGCGCCCCCCCCCTCCGTTACCGGCACTCGGTGACCTCCCCCCCCCATCCCGCACGTAAAGGGAGTCCCCGTGCCCCTCCCCCCATCTTTGTGCCCCTCCCCCCCTCCCCGTCCGGTTCCGCCTCTTGAACCCCCCCTTTGAGGAGGGGGGGAGGGGGGGGCTCCTCCATCCCAACGGGACCCGGTTTTAGGGAGGGGGGGAGGGAGCCCCCCCCCGCAGGAAGCGAACGGGAAGCGCCCGCCCCGTGGCTCCGGTGTTTCCGGTGTCTCCTTGAGCCGGGGACGCCCTTTTAGACCCGGGGCCTCGTCCCGGTGCTGCCCCGGCCCCGCGGCGCCGCCGTTACCGGGCTCGGGCCGGACCCGGCTCCCGTTGCTCCCCGTGGCCCAATTCCACCGCGGCTCCGTTCCCGGTCACGTGATGCGGGGGGGGGGGGGGCACCGGATCCCGTCCCCCCCGTTCCCCATCCCGGTTCTCCCCTCCATGGGCCTGCATCCATCGCATCCCATCCCACCTGCACCCAGCGCATCCCGGTCCCCCGGTGCCATGGGGGTGAAATCACCCCCCCATCGGGGCCGCACCGGGGCTCCCATCTCCTCCATTGGCTCCCATTTGGGGTCGGGAGGGGGGGGGGCCAGAGCTGGGTCCTGTCCCCATCACTTGTGGGGGGGCTCAAAGCTGCTCCCCACCGGTGAAGGTCACCAGGGATGCGGCTCCATCGGTGGCATCCATGGGGCCAGAGCCCTGGGCTATGGGGGGGTCCCGGCCCCATAAGTGCCTCTGGGGGGGGTCCCGGCCCCATAAGTGCCTCTGGGGGGGCCCCGGCCCCATAAGTGCCTCTGGGGGGGTCCCGGCCCCATAAGTGCCTCTGGGGGGGCCCCGGCCCCATAAGTGCCTCTGGGGGGGGCCCCGGCCCCATAAGTGCCTCTTGTCCCCTCTGCAGCCATGGAAGCCAACTCCCCCCTGGGCTTCAGCTCCGCGCCCGCAGCCTCAGGACCCAAAGCGGCCTCGGGGGACGGCCCCTTCGGCCCCGGCTCCGCGCTCGGCTTCTCCCCACAAGGGAAAAGTAAGTGTGGGGTCCCCATAGGGGCCCTGGTGTGCCCATAGGGGCCATGGTGTCCCCATAGGGGTCATGGTGTGTCCATAGGGACCATGGTGTCCCCATAGGGATCATGGTGTGCCCATAGGGGCCATGGTGTATCCATAGGGGCTGTGGGGTCCCCATAGGGGCCATGGTGTCCCCATAGGGGTCATTGTGTCTCTGCAGGGGCCATGGTGTCCCTGTAGGGTTGCGGTGGGTGGGGAGCCCCAGCTGGGGGCAGCGCTTGTGGCTGCAGCGCCTCAAGCATCCCTCGAGCATCCCTCGAGCACCCCCTCGAGCACCCCTCAAGCATCCCCTCAAGCACCCCTTCGCACATCCCCTCCAGCATCCCCTTGAGCATCCCATTGAGCATCCCCTCCAGCATCCCTTGCTCACCCCTTGAGCATCCCCTCGAGCATCCCTCGAGCATCTCTTGCGCGTCCCTTGTGTGTCCCTCGAGCATCCCTGTAGCATCCCCTCGAGCATTCCTCGAGCATCCCCTCGAGCATCCCCTCGAGCATCCCCTCGAGCATCCCCTCGAGCATCCCCTCGAGCATCCCCTCGAGCATCCCCTCAAGCATCCCCTCAAGCATCCCCTCGAGCATCCCTTGAGCATCCCCAGGCATTGCCTCCAGCATCACTTCCAGCATCCCCTTGAGCATCCCCTCGAGCATTCCTCCAGCATCAACTCCAGCATCCCCTGAGCATCCCCTTGCGCATCCCTCGAGCATGACCTCCAGCATCACCTTGATCATCCCCTTGAGTGTCCCTCAGGCATCCCTTGAGCATCCCTCAAGCATCCCTCTAGTATCCCTCCAGCATCCCTCCAGCATCCCTCGAGCACCCCTTGAGCATCCCTCCAGCATCCCCTTGAGCATCTCCTTGAGCATACCTTGAGCATCGCCTCGAGCATCCCTCGAGCATCCCCTTTAGCATCCCCTGAGCATCCCTGAAGCATTGCCTCGAGCATCCCTCGAGCATCCTTTGAGCATCCCCTCCAGCATCCCCTGAGCATCCCTGAAGCATCCCCTCCAGCATCCCCTTGAGCACCCCTCAAGCACCCCTCCAGTATCCCCTCCAGCATCGCCTCGAGTGTCCCCCGAGCATCCCTCGAGCATCCCCTCCAGCATCCCTTACACACCCCTCCAGTATCCCCTGAGCACCCCCTCGCTCACCCCTCCATCACCCCTCCAGTATCCCCTCAGCATCCCCTCGCACATCCCTCAAGCATCATCTCCAGCACCCCCCGAGAGCACCCCCCGAGCACCCCCCGAGCACCCCCCGCTCTCTCCCTTCCAGGTCTCAACGGGCCCCTGGGCCTCAACGGCTTCCCCACCGCCTCTCACCCCAGCGCTTCGGGCCCCTTGGCCCCCAGCTCCCCGCCCGCGGCCGCGCAGCCCCTGCGCTCCTGCGACTGCCTCTGGGGCTTCACCTCCTGCGCCGGCCCCAGGGACGGGCGCCCCTCGCCCCCCCCCCCGCCGCCGCTCTTCGCCCTCAACGGCACCGAGCCCCCGGGCCCCGGCGCCAACCCCCGCGGCCCGGAGCTGTGGGGCAGCGGCGGCGCCGGCCCCATGGGGCTGGGCTTGGACTCGCAGGAGCTCTACGGCGCCTTCCACGAGCAGGGCTTCGAGCTGGTGCCCAACGGGGCCGCCGGGTTCTATGGGGCCGCGCAGCCCTTCCCGGAGGAGCCGGGCGCCGGTGATGGAGGCGGCGAGGCCGCAGGCAAGGGCATCCCGGTGGAGAACGGCGCCGGGCTCGTGGGCAGCGTGGAGCTGGAGGAGGCGCAGCCGGGTGGGTACCGGGGCCCGGGGGCGCTGTGGGGCCGGCCCCAGCCCCGGCCCCGGCCCGTTGCTATGGGGCGCGCGACGTCTCCATCGCTCCCTTTAGAGCTCAAGATGTGCGGCTACAACGGGGCTGCCCCCGGAGCGGGGGGGCCGGGGCTGGGGGCTGCGTCCCCCCTCGCCCCCCGCCTGGACGATGCCCCCATCCTCAGTGAGGACCCCCTGGAGCCCTTCGGGGCGCTGGGCGCAGGTAGGGCCGGGGCAGTGGGGATGGGGCGATGGGGATGGGGCTATGGGGATGGGGATCAATGGGGATGGGGATCAATGGGGATGGGGATCAATGGGGATGGGGCGATGGGGATGGGGATCAATGGGGATGGGGATCAATGGGGATGGGGCGATGGGGCTGGGGCAGTGGGGATGGAGCAGTGGGGCTGGGGCAATGCGGCTGTGGCGATGGGGCTGGGGTGATGGGGCTGGGGTAATGGGGCTGGGGGCAAGGGGGCTGGGGCAGCAGAGCTGGGGCTCAGTGGGACCGGGACAGTGGGGCTGGGGGGCAGTGATGCCGGGGGGCAATGGGACCGGTGCAATGGGGCCGGGGGTCAGTGGGGCGGGGGGGCAGTGGGGCTGAGGGGCAATGGGGCCGGGGGGCAATGGGATCGGTGCAATGGGGCTGGGGTGATGGGGCCGGTGCAATGGGGCCGGGGGGCAATGGGACCGGTGCAATGGGACCGGTGCAATGGGACCGGTGCAATGGGGCCGGTGCAATGGGGCCGGGGTGATGGGGCCGGTGCAATGGGACCGGTGCAATGGGGCCGGGGCGGGTCCGTGCCGGGCTCCGGGGCGGGCGCTCAGCTCCCAACTTCCGCGGCTCCGCTTCCACCTCGGCCATTTTGGGCTCCGCTTCCCGGAGGCGGGGCCGGGGGCTCCCGACCCCCTTTAACCCCTCCGGTACCGGTTATGGGGCTGGGGGGCAGATGTGGGGCTGCGCCCCCCCCATCCGTGCCCGTTCCCCCCGCAGATGCGGCCGGGCCCGCGGGTCTCTACTCCATGGACGATGCTGAGCTCGGGGGTCACAAATCCCCCCTTGGGGACCCCCCGGACCCCGACCTGCACCAGGGCCCCTTCAGCCTCCTGCCCCCCCCGCTGCTCACCGGGCCCGGCTCCCCCCCGCTGCACGGTTCGTGCCCCACAGCGGGGCTATGGGGAGCCCCATGGGGATGCGCTCTGGGTCCCATCGCATGGGGAGGGGTCTGGGGCGGAGCGGGCGGTGATGCCCCTGCTCCCGGCCCCATAGAGAGCAGCGTGGAGCTGAACAGCAGCAGCCACGTGGGGCTGCAGGAGCCGGGGTCCCTGGAGCTGGACCCCACAATGGGGACCCCCGAGTCCCCGGCCCCATCCGAGGAGGAGGAGGAGGAGGAGGAGGAGGAGGAAGCCGCCGGCACCAGCCCCGAGGCTCCATCAGCACCGGGGGCTGCAGCGCTGAGCTCAGCACCGGGTAGGTCCGGACCCCCCCATCCCATTGAACCCCGTTTTAACCCCCCCCAGCACTGACCCCATGCCCATCCCCTGCCCCATAGGGGATGCCCCACGGCGCCGCATCGCCACGCAGGAGGAGGTGCGCTTCCCGCTGCAGCACGGGTGCGTGTCCATCCCCCCCCTCAAACCCAGCCCCATTGATGCCCCACGGCTGCCCCACGGCTGCCCCATAGCGCGGGGCTGACGCTTGTGGGGCGCAGGTGGAGGCGGGAGGTGCGCATCAAGAGGGGGAACCACCGGTGGCAGGGGGAGACCTGGTACTATGGGCCCTGTGGGAAGAGGATGAAGCAGTTCCCGGAGGTCATCAAGGTACCGAGGGGGGGGGCAGCCCCCAGGCCCTGCCCCATGGATCCTGTGCCCCACGGACCCTGTGCCCCATGGACCCTGTGCCCCACGGATCCTGTGCCCCACGGATCCTGTGCCCCACGGATCCTGTGCCCCATGCATGGATCCTGTGCCCCATGGACCCTGTGCCCCACGGATCCTGTGCTCCATGGATCCTGTGCCCCACGGACCCTGTGCCCCATGGATCCTGTGCCCCACGGGTCCTGTGCCCCACGGGTCCTGTGCCCCACGGGTCCTGTGCCCCATGGATCCTGTGCCCCATGCATGGATCCTGTGCCCCATGGATCCTGTGCCCCACGGATCCTGTGCCCCACGGATCCTGTGCCCCATGCACGGATCCTGTGCCCCACGGATCCTGTGCCCCATGGATCCTGTGCCCCATGCATTGATCCTGTGCCCCACGGATCCTGTGCCCCACGGATCCTGTGCCCCATGCATGGATGCTGTGCCCCACGGACCCTGTGCCCCATGGACCCTGTGCCCCACGGGTCCTGTGCCCCATGCATGGCTCCTGTGCCCCATTGATCCTGTGCCCCATGGACCCTGTGCCCCACGGGTCCTGTGCCCCATGGATCCTGTGCCCCATGCATTGATCCTGTGCCCCACGGATCCTGTGCCCCATGGATCCTGTGCCCCACGGATCCTGAGCCCCACGGATCCTGTGCCCCATGGATCCTGTGCCCCACGGATGCCTTCATCCCCCCCCCTCCTCCCCCCAGTACCTGAGCAGGAACCAGGGGGCCCAGGGCCCCGACGTGCGCCGGGAGCACTTCAGCTTCAGCCCCCGCATGCCCGTGGGGGACTTCTATGAGGAGAGGGAGACAGCGGAGGTGGGTCCGGGGTCACCCCCACACAGACCCCTCATACACCCCCCATATGCCCCCATATCCGGGCCCACATCCCCTCCATACTCCCCATACCCCCCCCATATCCCCCCCATATCTCCCCCATAACCCCCATATCCCCCCCACATTCCCCCCATATCCCCACCATAACCCCCCATAACCCCCCCATATCCCACCCATACCCCACCCATATGCCTCCCATATCCCCCCCCCATCCATACCCTACCCCCTACTCCCCATACTCCTCCTATACTCCCCGACATCCCCCCCATACCCCCCTATATCCCCCCCATACCCCCCCATATCTGTGCCCACATCCCCCCCACAGCCCCCCCGTACCCTCCCATATCCCCCCCTTATAGCCCCCCTTATCCCCCCCTTACCCACCCACATCCCCCGCACATCCTCCCCCATACCCCGCCCAACCCCCCATACCCCCCCATACCCCCCCCATATCCCCCCCTATCCCCCCCTATCCCCCCGCTCACCCCCGTCCCGTGCAGGGCCTGCAGTGGGTGCAGCTCAGCCCCGAGGAGATCCCCTCCCGCATCCAGGCCATCACCGGCAAGCGGGGGCGGCCCCGCAACGCCGAGAGGCCCAAGGGCAAGGAGGGCCCGGGGGGGGCCCCGGGGGGGGCAGCGCCGGGGGGGGGCAAACGGGGCCGGGGCCGCCCCCCCAAGGCGCGGCTGCTGGAGCTGCTGAGCAAGGCGGACGCGCGGCTGCTCAAGAGGCTCGAGGGGCAAGGTGGGGGGGGGGGGGGCAATGGGGGGGGTACCAGGGGGGGTACAGGGGGGGCAATGGGGGGTACAGGGGGGCCAATAGGGGGTACAGGGGGTGATGGGGTGGGGGGGTACAGGGGGGGCTGGGGGGTACAGGGGGGGCTGGGGGGGTACAGGGGGGTACGGGGGGGGCAATGGGGGGGTACAGGGGGTGATGGGGTGGGGGGTATGGGGGGGCAGTGGGGGTGGGGGGGTACGGGGGGTGATGGGGGGGTACAGGGGGGGTACAGGGGGTGCTGGGGGTACAGGGGGGTGATGGGGTGGGGGGGTACAGGGGGGGCAATGGGGGGGTACAGGGGGTGCTGGGGGTACGGGGGTGACGGGGTGGGGGGGTACGGGGGGGCAATGGGGCTGGAGGGCAAGGTAGGGGGTGATGGGGCTGGGCGGGCAGGGGGTGATGGGCTGGGCGGGTACAGGGGGTGATGGGGGGTACAGATGGGGCTATGGGGCTGGGGGGTACAGGGGGGTGATGGGCTGGGCGGGTACAGGGGGTGATGGGGGGTACAGAGGGGGCTATGGGGCTGGGGGGCACATGGGGGCCGTGGGTCCAGGGGCTCCATCAGCTCCATCGCTCTCTGCTCCCATAGAGGCGCTGAGCGAGGAGGACAAGGCCAGGATGAACAAGATCAAGAAGAAGATGAGGAGGAAGGTGAGGGGATGGGGTGCAGGGGGACCAATGGGGTGATGGAGCCATGGAGTGATGGGGGGGTGCTGTGGGACCAATGGGGTGATGGAGCTGTGGGGTGATGGGGGGGTGCAGGGGGACCAATGGGGTGATGGAGCTGTGGGGTGATGGAGACGTGGGGTGATGGAGACATGATGCTGAGGGACCAATGGGGTGATGGAGCTGTGGGGTGATGGAGGCGTGGGGTGATGGAGCACTGGGGTTTGGTCATTGGGCGCTGGGGTTTGGTGATGGAGGAATGGGGTTTGGTGATAGAGCCATGGGGTGATGGAGCCATGATGCTGAGGGACCAATGGGGTGCTGGAGCCCTGGGGTTCGGTCCCTGGGCACTGGGGTTCGGTGCTGGAGCCCTGGGGTTCGGTCCCTTCCAGGCCAGGAGCCAGCAGCAGGCAGACCCCAAACCCCCCCGGGTGAAGGAGCCCAAGCGGCGCTGCAAGGTGAGCGCCGGGGGCTCAGTGGGGCAGGGAGGGGGGGAGCGATGGAGCCGCTGCCCCCTCACCCCCATGAACCCCCCATTGCCCCCCGGCTCCTTCAGGCCAAGGCCAAGAGGGGCAAAGCCGAGAAGGGGAAGGAGAAAACCAGGGGCAAGGAGCGGAGGGGCCGGGGGGCCCCCAAGGGGCGCCGGGAGCAGCGGCTCCGGATGGAGGAGATGAGGAAACCAACGGAGGATCTGTGCTTGGGGGACCACCAGGTACCGGGGATGGGGTGGGATGGGATGGGGATGGGGATGGGGATGGGATGGGATGGGATGGGGATGGGATGGGGATGGGATGGGATGGGGATGGGATGGGGGATGGGATGGGATGGGGATGGGGATGGGGAAGGGGATGGGGATGGGATGGGGATGGGGATGGGATGGGGATGGGGATGGGATGGGGATGGGGAGGGGATGGGGAGGGGATGGGATGGGGATGGGATGGGATGGGGATGGGGATGGGATGGGATGGGGATGGGATGGGATGGGGATGGGATGGGGATGGGGATGGGATGGGGATGGGATGGGATGGGGATGGGGATGGGATGGGGATGGGATGGGATGGGGATGGGATGGGATGGGGATGGGGATGGATGGGGATGGGATGGGATGGGGATGGGATGGGGATGGGGATGGGATGGGGATGGGATGGGATGGGATGGGGATGGGATGGGATGGGATGGGGATGGGGATGGGATGGGATGGGGATGGGGATGGGGATGGGATGGGGATGGGATGGGATGGGGATGGGGGATGGGATGGGATGGGGATGGGGATGGGGATGGGATGGGGATGGGGATGGGGATGGGATGGGGATGGGATGGGGATGGGAAGGGATGGGGATGGGATGGGGATGGGATGGGGATGGGGATGGGATGGGATGGGATGGGGATGGGATGGGGATGGGGATGGGGATGGGATGGGGGTGGGATGGGATGGGGATGGGATGGGGATGGGATGGGGATGGGATGGGGATGGGGATGGGATGGGATGGGGATGGGGATGGGGATGGGATGGGGATGGGGATGGGATGGGGATGGGGATGGGATGGGATGGGGATGGGGTCACTGGGACCCCTCATCCCTCCCCATTGACCTCATCCGTGCCCCGCAGCCGCTGCCGCCGCTGTCGCGCATCCCCGGGCTGGTGCTGCCGGGCGCTGCGGTGTCCCGGTGCCTGGCGGTGCTGGAGTTCCTGCGCGGGTACGGGCGGGTGCTGGGGCTGGAGCCGGGCCGGGACGTGCCCAGCCTGAGCGCGCTGCAGGAGGGGCTGCTGGGGCTGGGGGACAGCGCGGGGAGGCTCCAGGACCTGCTCGTGAGGCTGCTGCGGGCGGCGCTGGGGGACCCCGGCCTCCCCCACTGCTGCCAGGTGAGGGGGAGACAGACCCCATCCATACCCATATCCATCCGTATCCATCCCATCCCTGCCCCACTGCTGCCAGGTGAGGGGGAGACAGACCCCATCCATATCCATATCCATCCATATCCATCCACATCCATCCATATCCATCCACATCCATCCCATCCCTGCCCCACTGCTCCCAGGTGAGGGGGTGCAGTACTGAGCCCATCCATATCCATCCATATCCATCCATATCCATCCATATCCATCCATATCCATCCATATCCATCCATATCCATCCCATCCCATCCCTGCCCCACTGCTGCCAGGTGAGGGGACATGGACCCCATCCATACCCATATCTATATCCATCCATATCCATCCATCCACATCCCTGCCCCACTGCTGCCAGGTGAGGGGACATGGACCCCATCACATCCATATCCATCCACATCCATCCATATCCATCCCATCCCATCCCATCCCTGCCCCACTGCTGCCAGGTGAGGGGACATGGACCCCATCCATACCCATATCTATATCCATCCATATCCATCCATCCACATCCCTGCCCCACTGCTGCCAGGTGAGGGAACATGGACCCCATCACATCCCATCCACATCTATCCACATCCATCCACATCCATCCATATCCATCCATATCCATCCCATCCCTGCCCCACTGCTGCCAGGTGAGGGGGTGCAGTACTGAGCCCATCCATATCCATCCATATCCATCCTATCCACATCCATCCTTGCCCCACTGCTGCCAGGTGAGGGGATACAGACCCCATTCCATCCGTATCCATCCATATCCCATCCATATCCATCCATATCCATATCCATCTGTATCCATCCATATCCATCTGTATCCATCCATATCCATCCCATCCCTGCCCCACTGCTGCCAGGTGAGCAGGACACACTGCTGAGCCCATCCATATCCATCTGTATCCATCCATATCCATCCTATCCTATCCTATCCTATCCACATCCCATTCCCTGCTCCCATTCCCTGCTCCATCCCAGCCCCATTCCCAGCCCCATCCCTGCCCCATTCCTGCTCCCATCCCCACCCCCTGAGCCCCATCCCCATTCCTGCCCCATTCCCACCCCCATTCCCCCCCATCCCCACCCCTCGGGACCCTCCTCACCCCCCGCCCCCCCCAGTCCCTCAGGATCCTGGGGGAGAAGGTGCCCGAGATCCGGCTCAGCCGCGACACCGTCTCCGAGGTCCTGCGCTGCTTCCTGGCGGCGCGGGGGGCGCCCGAGGGGCTCTGGGGGGGGCTCCGCACCAAACCCTTCCAGGCGCTGCCCCCCGGCACCAAGGCCTCCATCCTGGCCTTCCTGGTGGACGAGCTCAACGGGAGCGCCCGCATCATCAGGTGAGGTTCAATGGGGCAGGGTCCATGGGGGTCAATGGGGTTCCATGGGGGTCCATAGGGGTCAGTGGGGGTCCATGGGGGTCCTGGGGGTCCATGGGGGTCCTGCCCCATTGGCGCAGTGGGGAACGGGCTCTGTCTCCCTGCAGTGAGATCGACAAGAGCCTGGAGAGCATGGCCGGGTACCGCAGGAACAAGTGGGTCATCGAGGGGCGGCTGCGCAGGTGGGTGCTGGGGGGGGGGCAGTGGGGCAGGCAGTGGGGGCGGGCAGTGGGGCAGGCAATGGGGCAGGCAGTGGGGTAGGCAGTGGGGCCGGCAGGGGCAGTGGGGCAGGCAGTGGGGCACTCCGTGAGCCCTGCGCTCTGTGGGGCAGGCAATGGGGCAGGCAGGGGCAGTGGGGCACTCAGTGGGGCAGGGGCAGTGCGGCGGGCACTGGGGCACTCTGTGAGCCCTGCGCTCTGTGGGGCAGGCAGTGGGGCAGGCAGGGGCAGTGGGGAAGGCACTGGGGCACTCAGTGGGGCAGGCAGTGGGGCAGGGGCAGTGGGGCAGGGGCAGTGGGGCACTCAGTGGGGCACTCAGTGGGGCAGGGGCACTCTGTGGGGCACTCCGTGATCCCTGCGCTCTGTGGGGCAGGCAGTGGGGCACTCAGTGGGGCAGGGGCAGTGGGGCCGGCAGTGGGGCAGGGGCACTCTGTGGGGCACTCCGTGATCCCTGCGCTCTGTGGGGCAGGCAGTGGGGCACTCAGTGGGGCAGGGGCAGTGGGGCAGGGGCACTCTGTGGGGCACTCCGTGATCCCTGCGCTCTGTGGGGCAGGCTCAGGGTGGCCCTGGCCAAGCGGAGCGGGCGCCCCGAGTCCGAGCTCCCCCCGCTGGAGGCCGCGCGGCGCCGGCGCAGCTCCCGCCTGAGCGAGGGCCCGGGGCTGGAGCCCGACGGGGAGGACGAGGAGGAGGAGACCCGGGGGCGGCGCTGGCGCAGGGAGGAGGAGGTGGGAGCCGGGGGGGGGCGGGGGATGGGGGGGGATGTGGGGAGGGGATGTGGTGCGGGGATGCGGGGCTGGGATGTGGGAGGGGGATGTGGGGATGTGGGGCGGGGATGCGGGGCTGGGATGATGCGGGGCGGGGATGCGGGGGGATGTGGGGCTGGGATGATGTGGGGCGGGGATGTGGGGCGGGGGATGCGGGGAGGGGGATGCGGGGCTGGGATGATGTGGGGTGGGGATGCGGGGCACAGATGTGGGGCCGGGGATGTGGGGAGGGGGATGTGGGGGGGATGTGGGGTGGGGGATGTGGGGCAGAGGGGGTGGGGAACAGGTGGGGAGGGGGATGTGGGGCGGGGATGTGGGAGGGGGATGCGGGGCGGGGGATGCGGGGCGGGGTATGCGGGGCAGGGATGTGGGGGGGGGGGATGATGTGGGGCAGGGGATGCAGGGAGGGGGATGCGGGGCTGGGGATGTGGGGGGGGATGTGGGGCACAGATGTGGGGCAGGGGGGGCTCCATCGCTGCTCCCTTCACTGCCCCCCTCCTGCCCCCAGCTCGACACCTCCACATCCAGCATCCCCGAGCTGGAGCGGCAGATCGAGAAGCTGGCCAAGGTGAGCGGGCGATGGGGGCCCGGCTCCTGCCCCTCTATGGGGCTCTGTGGGGCTCTGTGGGGCCCTATCTATGGGGCTCTGTCTATGGGGCTCTGTCTATGGGGCCCGGCCCCACGCTGCGCTCTCCCCATAGAGGCAGATGTTCTTCCGCAAGAAGCTGCTCCATTCCTCGCAGATGCTGCGCGCGGCATCGCTGGGGCAGGACCGGTACCGGCGCCGCTACTGGGTCCTGCCCCACCTGGGGGGCATCTTCGTGGAGGGCGCGGAGGGTGAGTGTGGGGCAGGAGGGGAGGGGAGGGGGGGACCCCCCCCGCCATAGAGCAATGCATCCCAACAGCCCCCCCATAGGGCAATGGATCCCAACAGCCCCCATAGGGCAATGCATCCCAACACCCCCCACAGGTCAATACATCCCAACGCCGCCCCATAGGGGAATGCATCCCAAAGCCCCCCCATAGGTCAATGCATCCCAACGCCCCCATCCCCTCCCTGCAGAGCCGGAGCCCCCGGAGCAGAAGCCGCCCGCGGTAAAGCCGGAACCGGAACCAGACCCGGAGCCGGTGCCGGTGCCCGTGGCCCCCCGGGTGCCCCCCCCGGTTTCCCGGTCCCGGGGCCGGCCCCG